GATAATGTCCATCACATTCCTCCATCATTGCTAACCCCCTGCCCCCTCCCCTCCCCAGCCACCCTTCTGCCCTATCTAGAGTTCGTCAATGTTTTAATTATAGACAACTGGGATGTTGCTTTGAAGGTGATACTGGGCCCCATGGAACACTGGAGTATGGATCAGTTTGTTTAGGTAGAAAGAGGTAACCTAGGATTTCAGGCCCAAGATCCACAGTTAGCTGCAAATAAAACAATCCTTTTAGATCTTCATCAGAGGCAATTTTGCCACCCCTTCCCGTCTATGCATTGGGTTCCATCAGTGTAATTGTTATCATTCTCATCCTCCTGTGACAAAATCAAAGACATATTGTAGAAATAACATCGAACTTGTAATTACAACTGTAGAGGCTTTGTAAAGGTTAGGAATTCGTGTTTAAAGCAAAAAAGTGTAATCACATGGCATTTTGTGAGTTCACTGAATTAAATACAGTTCTAAAAAGGAATCTTCCTTGTTACATTGCAGACAAAATTAACTTTCCACCACAAAAAGGTAAATAGGCAGTTTGAACATTTGTATTTACTTTCACTCTAATAAAGTAATTAAAATAACTTCAAAGGGATTTTTTTTCTTTTTTTTAGGTTATGGAAAAACAAAAGAAGAAACAAGAACAAAGACTCATACAAAGGCTCTATAGACTCACAAACTTGACCTGAGCTCACACTGGGAATAGCAAAAACCTTCTGGCTTATACCAAGGGCTCCGTGTCTACAGACACCCCCTTGAGTACGGCACACATTAGGATGAGGGCAATCAGTTCATGAAGCGGTCAGATCTCTAGATTCCTTCCCTTATGCCCTGGGTGAACTGACCTTCACCACCCCTGAGGGGGCGAATGGGGGCTGTCTTGGGAGAGACGTAGCTGAAGGTAGGATTGCCAAAATGAACTTTCATTTTCATGAAAATATATGCTCCCCTTGGCTCCCAGAATGCCAACAGAGAGCCATTCTGAAGGGAGATGAGAGGATGTTTCCTGATAAATATGATCAGCCCAGGAGATAATTCTCCCCAACCAAATGGCCCAAGCAAGATCATTCTGTAGTGGAGCTCTGAGTCACCAAACCCTGCTGACATCCTACTTAGTCCTTCCCAAAATAAACAGGAGGGAGAAGTAACTTGGGAATAATATAAATCATAATAATATAATAATGTAGAAAGAAAACATTTTAGGAATCCTGTTAATGTCCTTCAAGAGGTATGAGAAAATGTTGCTTTTATGGAACTAGAGCAGAATGTTTTGAAGCAGAGAGGAAAGGAGGGAGGCAGAGAGAGACAGGGAGAGAAACTGATTCAGAAACCCAGGAGCCCTTTAGATTAAAATTGTGACAGCTGATAAAAGGGATGGAAGATAATTTTGAGGAAAGATCAAAAAAAAAAAAAAAAAAAAAAAAGGAGAACCAAAATAAAAAGAGAGATGGCCGGTAGAACAGAGCCATGTAAGGAAGTTGGAGGGCTGGCCCAAGAGGTCCACAACATCCAAATACTAGGAATTCCAGAAAGACGAAAGGTCACCATGCAGCCAGACCTGTCAGCCATCTCAAAGAGACAAGAGAACGACGGAGCAGGACCTTAAAATTACTGAAGAAAAACTGCTTCCAACCTGGAATTCTACACTCAGCCAATTATCCATTAAGTATGGGTTGAATGAAGAAGGCCTAAAAGTCTAGCTCCCATACGCCTCTTCTCAAGACGGTATTAGAGGATGTGTTCCAACAGAACAAGGAGGTAAGCCAAGAAAGAGAAAGACAAGAGAAGCTCAACTCCAGAGAGAGCCGCAGAGCGCCCTTGGGGTAATCCCAAAGGGCAACGTCCGGTTGGGCACGGGGCTCTCCGTGATTCCATGAGGAGGCTGGAAGTCTCCAGAAGAGATTTCCTCAGGAAGATGGAGTGGATATGCGACCTGATACGTCTGAGTAGCTCCAGAGCGATATCAATCAGAGGAGGCTCGGATCACCAGGGGAGGGTTCTGTCTTAGTCTCTTAAGGCTGCTAGAATAAAATACAACAGACTGAGCAGTTCATAACCACAGAAATTTTTTTGCTCACAGTTCTGGAAAGTGGAAGTCTAGAATCAACGCCCCAGCACATCTGGCGTCTGGCGAGGGCCTTCTTTCTGGTTTGTATATGGTGCTTTCTCCCCGTGTCCTCACATGATGGAAGGGGCCAGCGAGCTGTCTGGGCCTCTTCCAAAGGCACTAGTGTCATTCATGGGGTGGCACCCCCAGTGCCTAATCGCCCCCAAGGCCCCACCTCCAGATCCACTCACCTGGGAGGGGGGAAGCTCTGACGTACAGACTTGGGGACACACAGAGCGCAGGAGGCATGTGGGAAAGAAGCGGGAGAAAAGTGCCCACCACCAAACAAGTTAATCCTCGACCAAAAATGCAGGAGAGAAAAGAGCAATCCCAGAGTGACCCCAGGGCCAGAGGCGCTGAAGAGCTCACAAGTGGAGGGGACTCTACACAGAATCCTTTCAGCCCAAATAGCATCAGACACCCTGTTGGGAGGTGAAGATGTGGACAGGGTCAGCCAGTGCCACCCAGTGCTGTGTGTGCACAGCCAGCCCCACAGCACCCAGCTCCTGACTGGCAGCCCTCAGTTTTCCATCTTCCTTCCTCTGGGGATATGTGTGTGTGTGCTGTGTTGTATTGTAGTGTGTGTGTGGTGTGTGTGTGGTGTTTGGTGTGTAGTGTGTGATGTCGTGTGTGCAGGGTGGATGCTATGGATACGGCTGTGTGTGCTGTGTGTGTGGTCTGTGTGTAGAGTGTGGTGTGTCTATCATTGTGCTGTGCTGTGGGTGTGCAGTGGTTCCTGTTGTGTTTCGTGTTACCATGGCAACAGCGGCGGCTTACAAGTACACCGTGACCAGCACTTCCTTGAGTGTGTGCTGCAGAGTCCTCCTGCGGTTCACCTGGGACCTTCAGGAGTCCCGGGCTGGGCTTCTTCAGGGAGAGGAGTGGCACCTGCCCCCAGGACTATGGCTTAGGGAGCAGCCTGGGTTTTATTTAAAATGCCATCATCTGGGGCTCAGTGCACTGACTTCAGCAGTCTGCCCACAGGCCAGCTTTGGGGGACTCTGATGTCATTGCCCCTGCCCCCCTGGCAGTCTTGGCCAGATGCAGTCTCATTTCTCACCATGCTGCCCACCCTGCTGGCCTGGGACCACACCAAGGGTGGCAAGTCGTGAAGATGACAAGCAGTGCACACTCCCTGAAAAAATAGTGGCTGCCCTCATGGAATATATAATACACCAAGGCACCCACCGTGGCTTTCCTGCAGGTGACAGGATGTTTCTGTTTTTCGCGGCGGGGACACACTGTTTTTGTCACACAAGTCACACGTGGCACTTTCAGGAACAGCACCAAGTTCTACAATTTTCTGAGAGAAGGCTAGGGATGGTGTATTGAAGAATGTGTCTTGCAGTCACAGCACTTTAAATGGTCCATCGCTCTCCCAGCCTAAGCCACGGCTGGGGGTGGAGGGTTCATGCCCTCAGGGCTAGCTCAGCCATGGTGACCTCTCCCTGGACACCTCCTTCCTTCTAAGAGCCTCAAAGCCCACAAAGAGGCCCCAGCAGAGCTCCCAGGACTATAGCCCACGACCATCCACAGGTCTCGGGCTCCCATAGGGCAGTTCACTAAGAGGAGGAAGCTTGTGTTTTTTTTTTTTAAAAGTCTGGTTATGGTACACACACACACACACACACACACAAACACAAACACAGCTTGTGGACATTCTACATATAAGAGATGCCCACTCTCAAGAATGCGTGACCAAAAACACTGTAAATTGGACTGGATGCCATGGAGCAGGCCTGTAATCCCAGCAGCTCGGGAGGCTGAGGCAGGAGGATCACAAGTTCAAAGTCAGCCTCGGCAATTTAGCAAGACCCTAAGCAACTTAGTAAGCCCCTGTCTTAAATAAAAAGGGCTGTGGATGTGGCTCAGTGGCTAAAGGCCCCAGAGTTCAATGTCCAGTACCAAAACAAACAAACAAACAAAAAACACCCATCATAATTAAATGAACATGCTATTTCTTGGTTTGGAAGAGAACTGCATTTTGACACAATTTATTTTGGAGGAAAACACTGATCACGTTCGCTCCATCAAGTCGTCGTTGATCCCAATGAAGCAGCACGTTGCTTTTCAGGGGAGAGAAGTTAACTGACAGAGCAGAGTGTGGGAGGTGGATTCCTGAGTCCCAGCAGAAGGACCCAGCCAGCCAAGGGAACCCACTGGGCTACAGTGGGCATCGGGTATCCTCTCAGTGCCAATCAGCCAGACCAAATGAGACTGGGAAAGAACAAGGATGGCTACGCATGAGGCCAGCAAGCGGCCATCGGGGAGCTGGGGTCTGGACCACGGACAGCTTTCCTCTTACTGTCAGCAGAGGCTGTGGGGGAGGAGGGGGGTGGTTAACTGGATGGATTAGACTCTTTCAAGAAATGTTGAGATTTAACCTCGAATACAGTGTAGCGTGTTGCTCAATGACAGGGACACATTCAGGAAAGCACTGCTAGGCAATTTCATCACTGTGCAACCATCACAGACATCACCAGGGAATAGGAACTTCTTCACTCCGTTAAAATCTTTTGGGACTATCATCATCTGTGCTGCTCATCACTGACTGGAATCTTATGAGTGTATGTGCCTTGGACATTTCATTCATTCTAGGTATTTACAATGTTATTAAAAGTCAGTGTGAGAAAGTGCAAAGGGAAGAAAAATATAATTAAAAACTACCACCTCTGACAAATAAACTGGTATAAGGTTCAGACTCCCTGAATAACTCATTTTCCTCCATCTTGGTTTGGAATAAGAATGAAATTTCTCGGTATAAATATTTGTTTATTAAAGCACACAGTCAGGCTGGGGATGTAGCTCAGTGGTAGAGAACTTATCTAACATGGGTGTTAGACAAGTTCGATCCTCACTACTGCCCAAAATAAAACAAGAAACCATATTGTATGCAAACTTGTTTAATAATAAATATAGTCGTGAAACCATATAACACATATCATTAAAATGATAGACAGCCAGAAAAAATTTATCAAAAAACTCATCATTTTACCTGAAGAGACTTGTACAAACAAAATGTTTGCATAGATTTCCAAAGCTATGCAAAGAATAAAAATAACTGTCACGTAGCTTCAGGATCCAAACGGAGCAGGAGGTATTTTTGCTTGTTTTTTTTTTCCTGAGCAACATTTACTTTCTGCCACGGCTTAGTACTTCTGCTCTGAAATAAAATCAGATGCTGCATAGAGAGAAAGAAAAAAAAAAATGGGCTCCTCTTTCCCTTCGGGGGTTTGCACTGAAGGAGCCACCCCTGTCCAGGCTCTGTGGACCCTTCTCCCAGTTCAACCTGAGAAATTCTGGAAGACCTCGGCCGCCTCCACCCAGTTCTGAAAGCAGGCCAGCCCCCGCTCCCGGATCTGCTTCCGCCCTTTGCTGGTGATCACCTCCCCGTTTGGTTTCAGGATCACGAGCCTGGGGATGGCCGTGATGTCGTACCTCCTCTTCAGTTCGCTGCAGGAGAGAACAGGGTTACCAGAGGGTTAGCACTTCTGCACTGACATGGGAAAGGAAGGGGCCCCAGGGGACTGGCTGGCAGGACAGCCCACTCACTGCCAATGAGACTATTTCTAAGCCAGTCCAGACCTGGAGAACCATCCATTCGCAGAACTGTTCTTGCTCTGTGCAGCCCAATACAGAGGCCACCAGCCGTTTAGGCAGAAGGGTGGCAAGTCAGAGGGAAGAGCAGAACTTCTTGTTTGGATTAACTGCTAAATTTAACTGTCCCCCTCCCCCACACCCAGTACTGGGGATTGAACCCAGAGCCTGGCTACATACTAGGCCAGCACCAGACCCAGCTACGGCCCAGCCCTGTTCACTGAAACTGAGCAGCTACATGTGGCTGGTAGCTACAGCATGGGACAGTTCAAAATGCACAAGTAAACCCAGCAGCGTTTTCTACTCTCCTCTCAAGAGAAGGAAAATGTCAGGTACACATCATGGTAAGATAAAATTCGGAGAGTTCCAAACACATCCGAAGCCTATCAGACTTTACGCCTTACAAATTCAGTGATGCATCTGCTGATTTGGTTGTGGATGGAACATTTCTTACTCCCCTTCACCATCACCTCCAACCCGGTGAAAGGCCTTTTTACTACATTATTTGTATTCATTTAGGGAAAGAAGCACCTCCCTAATTCTGCAGGGGTCCCCCCCCATCCTTCACAGGGATTACCTCCCTCAAGACAGGGGGCAGGCAGGGAATCCCATCCCTGTTCGGGAGTCAGGTCAGGAGGGTCTCATGCCAACAGTAATCTGGTTTCCTTCATCTGCAGCCCCCCGGGTTAGGAGGCTGAGAGGAAGCCAAGCGGCAACTGAGACCTTCCTATCACCAAGCCTCCCCGCTGACACTTCTAACAAGGCTGCCAGGACCATCCAGGACCAGGTCAAAGGTCAACCTGCATTTAAGCGTGAAAAAATACACATCCCTCACACTCCAAGAGTGGGTACACATTGTTTGCAAACACCTGTGAACCTGTGAACCAACTGTATTCTCAGCCACAAAAGTGGTCTCAACAAATTTCAAAACATCGCTGAGTCAGACCATCACGTAATGGACTTGAAAACCAATAAACAATCACGATTAAGAAGGAGTTTGAAAAGTAACTATAAACGGGGGCAGTGGCATGCACATGTCATCCTAGCAGCTCCGGAGGCTGAGGCAGGAGGATCTCAAGTTCAAAGCCAGCCTCATTAACTTAGCAAGGCACTTAGCAACTCAGTGAGACCTTCTCTCTAAGTAAAATCTTTAAAAAGGGACTAGGGATGTGGCTCGGTGGTTAAGTGTCCCTGTTGCCAAAAAATAAAAAAATAACTATATTGTATGTGAAAGAGCCATTTAGATTAAAAAATATTTAGAACAATATCCAAAGGCTTCTCATCTATGGGTTGAGCCAGACTTGAATTGAAAATATTCCTTAAAAAATCACATCTGTGTTGAACATGTACATACTGTTTTTCCTGTCCTTAGCATTTCCTAAACAATATAACAACTATTTACAGAGCATTGACCTTGTATTGGGTTTTATAAGTAATCTAAAGATGACTTAAAATCTACTGGAGGATGTGTGTAGGTTATATGCAAAGTGTCCCCCTCAAAACCTCATGTGTGAGAGAGTGAAAAAAAGTTTAGAGGCGAAATGATTGGGTTATGAGAGGTTTGACCTAATCAGTGCGGTAACCGACCTGAATGGATTAACTGGGTGGTAACTGTAAGCAGGTGGGGTGTGGCTAGAGGAGGTAGCGAGACTTCAGGGGTTATATTTTGTCCCTGGTGAGCAGAGCTCTGTGCTTCCTGATCGCCAAGTCCTGAGCTGCTCTCCTCCTCCACACCCTTCTGCCATGATGTTCTGTCTCACCTTGGGCCCAGAGCCCTGAAGTGGTTGTCTGTGGATTGACACCTCTGAAACCGTGAGCCCCAAACAAACTGTTCCTTCTCTACATTGCTCTTGTCAGGTCCTTTGGTCACAGTGACAAAGAAGCTGACTAAACACAAATACCATGCTACTACAACATTTCATGTAACGAATCTGAGCATCGTTGGATTTTAGTACCTTGGGGAGATTCTGTAACCAAGTCACCCTGGATACCAAGGTTAAACTATACAGAGGCAAACTGTATACACAAGCAAACACACTTAGGAAGCTATACCTTAGATACACTTATCCAAAACTCATGCGGCCTGTAGTCCCAGGTACTTGGGAGACTGAGGCCGGGGACTCACCTGAGCCCATGAGTATAAGACCAGTCTGGGTAACACAGCAGAACTCCAAATGCAAAGCTCACCTGTCGATGAGTAATGTATTTAAACTCAAGAAGCTGAATCATGATGCAGGAAATGCAAAGAAAACAGAAGAAAAGGGCAAGACGAGAAATACGTGAAATAACAGAAATAATCGAAAAAAGAAATGAATCCATGAAAGTCAATATGGGGGTTTAACCTAAGAAGTGCATTAATCCACTTGAATAGATTAACTGGGTGGTGAAGCAATAAAACCCCATTTGATTCTTTTGGAAATTCTAAAATGTGAAACAAATCTTTGCTGAGACTGAGCCAGAGAAAAGGAGGATACCTAAGAATGTCAGGAGTCAGGCAGGTCGGCTCGCACATGGGCCCAGCACGGACTTAACCCTCCTCGTGGGGATACTGACAACAGGGTCCTGGCCTATCCTGGGGTGGTGTCCCAGGAAAGGCCCGTTTCCCAAGGAAACAGTGCACACAGCCTTCACCCCAGTCTCTCCGGGAGCCCTCCCCTGCGGTGTCCACCAACTGACTCACAGCAGGAAGGAACAGCAAAGGTGGGAGGAAGAAACATGTCAACTCTGTGGAACATTTGCCTGTGGGCTGAGAAAGAGGAATGTGTGAGGAGGTAGTGTGAGACATGGCAGTCATTCTGCCACCATGAGGAGAAACTCAATCTGCCAGCCAGCCACTGTCTGTAGAGGACACTGTGCTAAAACTGCGTTTGCAAAGATGAGACACCAAAGCCACAAACACAGAGCAGATGCAAATTCAAGTCAAACTGCAGGTCAGAAACAGCCCGTCAAACTGGAGCCCGGAAACCTCAGAGTAATGGGGCCTGCACAGATCCCAGAACATGCTGTGGGCAGGAGAGATGTGGTGGTGGGGAGGTGTCCCTCCCCAGTGTTTTAAGAATTCTGTATAATGCCTGAAACTTGAATGTCTAAGGAACCAACTTTTCTCAAAGGTATGAAATTTTTTAAAAAATGAAGAGAAACAATCCAAAAAGCTTTTTTAATGCTTTTTGCATAAAAACTACAAGCAAAATGGTAGTCTTGGCAAATGGGTTTTTTTAGTACCTGTGCTTTGGGTAGCAGGACTGGGCAGGGCAGAGTCCAACAAGTTTCAGAAAGGGACTGAGGTCTAGCCTCAGCCAGACGTGGCAGAGCTGGGACCCCAGGAACTTGGGACCTTAGCCAGGAAGCTTTTGGTGGGGGAATCAATCAGGAAGCGGGGAGCAGCATCTTCCCGCAGACCCCGGAGCCCACTGAAGGCCGACCCGGCACCTGCATTCCTGACTGGTTCCTGGGTTACCAACAGCATTACCTGCTTTTCTCAGTGGGGTCCCCAGGCAGAGCCTCAGGAAGACCCAGGGGCCCCTGACAACCGCAGTCTCTCTGACCCTGAGGGGCTAGCATCGGGGTTTTAATAGCCCTGGGGCTCACCTGGGTGTGCTCAGGGTTGCCAGCCCTGCTGGTCTCTCCCAGAACTTTCTGCATCCTCTCCACCGGAGTGGAGGAGGGAAGAGGTGGTAAGGTGCTGAGGACAGTGCCCTTGACAGTGTGAGCAGTCGTGGCCTAGTGTGCTACTTGGCAGCCTGACCTTCTCCCTCTGCTTTCTGGCATGGATCAGCTGTGCGACTTAGGCAAGCTAATTAGCCTCCCTGTGCCTCAGATTCTTCACCTGCACCATGGGAATAACTGAACCTACCTCCTAGGGTTGTTGTGAAGATTAAATGATTAATATGTGAACAGCTTAACAATAAATGGGGTTCCCCACACAATAAATACTCAATAAACACTTCCCACATTGCATAGGAAGGACCTAACTCCAACTCCAGCTGGGCAGACTGCTCAGTCAATGTATCCCTTGGCCCCAAAAACTGGTACAGAAATGGGTAACTAGTGGACAAAGAATAAGTAAGGCTCCATAGAACATTTGCCCGTGTGCTGAGAAAGAAGAAAGCGTGACGAGGTAGTATGAGACATGGCAGTCCTTCTGCCACCATGAGGAGAAACTCAAATTGCCAGGCAGCCACTGCCTGTAGCCTGAGCTCAAAGAAGACATGGTAGAAGGCAACCCATGAAACTGTATCCTCAGTGGCCTCCAGCCTCCTGAAAGACTAGCTCCTGCCTTCAGAGTTTCATTTATATCAGCCCATAACTTTTTTACTTAAGCACTGTTATTTTAATTACCTGCAATACTAAACCAAGTTCTGATGCAATCAGAGGGACGTAGCTAGCTTTGAGGAACAAGGAGCCTAAGGCGTCTTGCTTCACTTCAAATCCTCACCCTGGCAGCCTCTTCCTGGAAACAAACATAACCTCGGAACCAAAGAGGAGAAGCAAACAGCCACTTTCCCCTGAAGTCATCTCCATCCCTCTGGGCGTTGCGCTGTGTCCACAGAGAACAAAAGTGCTTGGCACAGAAAAGCATCACGGACATAACTCAGGAGGATTCTTAACCACTTTGGGAAAATCCCAGAGCCCCACTTGTCCTTGTCCTCAGAGCTGCTGCAACGTCTGTCCTTCCCTTCACCTAACCCAGCCACATCCTTGTCCCTGACCTAAGTGCTTCTGGTTGCCATGGCGACACCTGACTGGCGTTTCCTTCCCTCTTGGCCAGCAGCAGACTGTCGCCAGGCAAATCTCTCCAGAGCACCCTCTTTTGCTCGCTTGTTTCAAACGCCCATCAGACGTGCACCCTGTGGGTACCAAGTACGGAACCAGGTCTGGCTTGGTCCCGCTGCAGGCAACAGAAATCAGGAAACCCGAGGGCTGGAGCTACTGGGCCAGAACTATCTTTGAACCAAGGGCCATTTAGAGGGAGGACAGCAATCCGCTGTTAACAGTCCAGTGTCTGAATGAAGGACACCTGGAGAAGGCTCCAGGATAGGAGGACTCAATGGATGCCTGGAGTCCAGAGGACCCGGGAGGCACTGCACTCAGGCTGGACAGAGGCAAGGGGTGGTGACAGAATCGAAAACCATCTGCAAGGGCACTAACTCCTCCCATGGCTCTACCCCAGCCACTCTCCACCCAAGACACGAAGCCCTGGCCAGTGTGATTTTTCCAACAGATAAGCTTAGCCTGCAAGGTCAGGTGCCCCGAGAGCCAGCCTGGGAGGCAGGGGCCAGAGGCTGGGCTCCCTCCAGACCCCTGTGGGGTCCACTCACATTCTAGTTCGAGAGGCCGAGCAGAATGAACCTTGTTATGAGACGTTATAAAATCCCCACAGATCAAGTGTCTTGTGAATGGCAGCCTGCAGCAGGAATCCCTGCTGGTGAATTTAGAACTTGTTCCTTTTTCCTTGAGTTCGACCCGTAAACTTAGTCACAAAGGAAGGAAGAGGGTAGGATGGAACTTCATCCTGAGGAAATGCCTCCAGGGAGCAATGGCATCTGTCCCTGGTGCCTTCCCCCATCAGGTGAGGGCCTTCCTCTCAGCCCACCTGCCCCTTAGCACTGGCCAGGGAAACGGGCCCAGAACTCTAGGGCCCCCGATACTAGCAATAAACAGCTACTTCTCTGGGCTGCATATGTAACTTGAGGGAAAAGGTTGGGGTTCTAAGCATTTCCTCCCCTCCCTATAGATGCACCTGCAGCTGTAAGAGGGGAGACGATGTCTAGAACCAATCACGTCAAGGGGTAACCCCAAGGGTGCCCCACAGTATTTATATTTCCTTGGAAGCCTCAGATTTTCTTCTCTTCCATCTTCTTGAGGAATTCTTCTCAGGAATTCAGTGGACATTGTGATGAGCTCAGGCCCTTGGGAAAGGCAGTACAAGGGCTACTTCCCCACTCATCTTCCAAGCGGAGCTTGTGATATCAGTGTCCTGGCCTCATCTCAAGGGTAACAACCACAGGGTACTGCCTACTGCACACATTGACAATTTCTCCCAATACCTCTTGGATGATTTGTGCATTTTTTAGTTTTTCTTGGTGGTGGCTCTTTCCATTTGGCTCATGATGGGGTTTCATAAATCCAGGTGGGGATCAGCAGAATTTAGGACATGGCTCCAACAATGCCCACAGAATATTCATTTGGCTTCACAGTCAATGCATGGCTATGCCAGGGTTGGGGGTAGGGACAAAATGCTAATTTCACAGAAAGAAAAACCCCTCTGAGGAGGAGGGCAGACCAGGCAGAGATGACCAGAGCTTGGGGTCACCCTTACTCAAATTGGCTCATCTGTCTGCAGCTAGAGCAACAGGCTCTGACCAGATGACCAGGGGACAGATAATTTTGCATGGCCTCAAAAGTGATGCCCCTCCTGAGCCCATCTGGGTGCCCCTGGGTGAAGCAGTTCATCACCTTCTAGGAGAGGAACTGAGTCAGGGCAGAAAGATGGCCCCCAGACCCTGGAGAACTCTGTGCCTCAGTGACATGTTGTAAATGACATGGACCGGAGTGCTGGTCCCATAACCAGACCACTTCCAGTAGCCTTTTAATGGACCGGGCACGGCACTAAGGGTGTCATTCAGCTTAGCAATAAAACTCCCAACCTCCCCCCTGGGTAACACCAGAGCAGTGCTCTACCAGGGCCTGAGCTCTCTGCCTAGTTACTAACACTATCACCATCTCACCTTCAAAACACCTGTGTCCTTTCAAAAGTGTACAGCTTGTGTACGAGGGAAGTCCAATCAAACAAACTGCTTGAAGAGATTCTCTAATGAATCTCCGTGTAAAGTTAATCAGCCATCATTGAGACATTGTCATCAGGATGGGTCCTCACCCATCTCAAGGCTGGCTTCCTGCCTGGCTCCTCCACTTCATTGGGAATCTCCAAAGAGCAAGGATTTGGGAGAATAATCAGACTTCCTCTAGTTAAGTACACCTCTACCTGGACTCCCAGAAGTTGACTTCCGTTTTTCCAGAAAGAATATCCTCTCAGAATAAGTAAGTTAGGGGGTAACTTCACAAATGAATGAGTAACCCAAGGGGGCAGTTTCAAGCCACAGGGAATTATTCACATCTGCATTACGAAGGAGGAGGGGCTAGAGCAATGTGCTCTGTGACCTGTGTGATCTAAATCTCGATCTAGAACCTCACATCACAGGAGACCACACATGCAGAACAATCAGTACCCTGCCATCTGCACCTCCCTAATCCCATGACTCCCTACTCCTGTCCAGTGCCCCTGCTGATCTAGTCAGAGCCCGTATGCTCCAGCTGCAGGCAGAGGAGCCACTCTGAGCACGGGGTGGCCCGTGCTCTGGTCATCTCTGCTTGTGAAGCTTCCAGTTCCTTCACAAACTCAAACATCCAGCCCAGAGGATCTCAACCAGGGCGTGGGGGTGGGGGCAGGTCCCTTAGGAGTGCAGATTGTCGCTTCCAACATTCACAGCCACGAAATTTACAGTAATGAATTCAACACCTTTTGAGATTCCTTCACCAGCACCCGGGTTCCTCCAGCCCTGGTTCCCCGCTTCCCACACCCACAACCGCTGCCCTGCGGGCACTGATCACAGTTTGGACCCTCCCGGGTCACACCCACCTGCCCCCAGACCCAGGCTGTGGTCTCACCGAGCCTCCCGCCCACTGGCGGGGAGGAGAAAGTAATGAACTGACACCGCCCCCCCACCCCACCCCACCCCCCGCCCCCGCAGGCGTCCGCACCAGCTGGAGCTCCTGCCTAGAAACTCAGACCCCCCAGCCCCAGAATCCGCGAGTCCGGGGACGCTAGTGCACCGCGATTTCGAATCTGGGGAAGCTGAAACAGACTGAAGTGTGATTTACCTGAACCGGGACCTGGACTGGAAGGCGGGGAGGGAGGGAGAAAAGGGGCGTCTGGAAAAGCAAGCGGGTGCAGGAGAGGAGGCCTGCGGGGACACGGGGCGACGCGCCGGCGGCCCCAGCCCCAGGGCCCGCACTCACTGCCGGTAGGGGTCGTGGAAGGGCAGCGCCAGCCAGGCGCCGTGCTGCTGGCGCATGAAGTCCAGCATCTCCTGCGCGCTGCCGTCCGCCGACACGAACACGATCTCGAAAGGCGCCGGCTGCCGCGCCGCGCCCACCAAAGCTGCGTAGAAGTCGCAGAGCAGCGGCGTGAAGTCGCGGCTGGGAGCGCAGCGGCCCGCCGCAAAGTACAGAGCCACCACCTTGTTCTGCAGCGCCGCCTCGGCCTCCACCAGCGCGCCCTCGCGGGTCACCAGGCGCCGCCCGCCTAGCACATCCACCATGGTGCGGCCGGGCGGTCACTTGCGAACGGAGGACACCTGCGAGCCGAGAGCTTTGGCGGGGTGGATGGAGGGTCACTGCAGACGGAGAACACCTGCCGGCGGACGGTCACTAGCAGGCAGGTGGGTTGGAGCGGCGGCTGGGCTCCGCCTCTCTCCGCACCGCCCGCTCCCGGGAGGCACAGACACACCCCAGGGACTCCAGGACCAAAGGCGCCGACTGAGCCCCACCCCACACCTCTGGCCTCGCTTCTGGCTGCAGCAGTGGACGTGGCGCAGGGGAGGGAGATTCACACCCACCAGCGACCCCAGTGGCAGCTGCATCGGCGGCTTTAGCGAAGCACCAGCCTCCAGGCACGAAGTCTGCAGCGCTCGCTCCACATCCCGGCAACACCCTCAACTGCGCCCCGCCCCGCCCACTGCGCCACGCCCACATCCCTGTGCCCCGGCCCCAGGGCACACCCCCAGCCCTCCGCCTAGGCCGGCTCCTCACCCCACCTCCCACCCCCAGCCCTACAAACCGGTCCTGCCCACCTCTTCCAGCGCTTCCCCAGCTACCCACGCCGGGTTCCACCCAGTGAGCGCACCTTCGCCCCACCTTGAACTCCCGAGAGCCTTCTTCCGTCCCCCCGCTCCCCGCCCTAGCGCACTTGAGCCCTGCCTTGGAACTCCTGCCCTAGCCCTACGCCCTGGAAGGAGGAAGAAGCCAGGAGGTTGAAGGCGACAGGAAGGGGCAGGGCAGTGGCGAGGGAGAGGGCAGGCGTCGAGGAAGCCCGCGCTCCCTTCTTTCTGGCTGTTTACCCCGACGTGCGTACTGGCTGGGAGGGTTCCTGGAGTCCAGGAAGAAACGTGGGGGTGGATCTCCAAGAATGTTTCACTTGGAGGAGACACTGGCCAGGGAGCAACGTGTAAGAGCGCTCCCAAAAAGCTCCGTAATCCGTATAAATAATGATTAAATGCAATATTTTAACAATTCAAAATTAATGTTAAAAGCCCACGATGGACAAAATATTAAAAATACAGCATAGACAGCAGAAGAAACCAAAATGAGGCGCCCCAAATATGCTGCCTTGGTATATTTGTGGCTTTGATATATTGGTCATTTTGAGCCAAAGGCACTTGAAGAACGACAGACACTGGGAGAAGCTTCCGCCTAAAGACAGATTCTCCAATAGGAATGTCACAATCCTCCTCTCTGAAGTCTCACCAACTAGGAAATATGGTCGACCAAACAAGCTGAGATTGCCACCGCATCCACCCACCCTCTGTCACCATCTCTCCCAACTATTCCCCCAGGGATCTATAAAGTAAGTGTCCATTTCCCCTGTTCCGATGGAATATGCACACTTAAAATCATTGCTTTTATGGGTATTGGGGTTTTGTTCTGACAGCCCTCGTGCAAGTTACGTTAAAAGTTAGTGAATGTATGTGCCCTTTCTCCTGTGAATCTGCCAGTTGTCAGGGCCTGTAAGAGACCCAACTATGGAACCTAGGAGGCTCCTGGGAAGGCTCTGCGCCTTTGGAAACCCTCCGCTCAGCCCCCTGGGTTCCTCCCTAGAGCTTACTTTCCAATGCCCAGAAAAAATAAATAAATAAAGCATATAATGAAGCGATTTTGTAAGCGCTGTAGAAAGCAAAGACATGAGCAGGAGAGAGAGGTATGATTTAAATCCAGTGATGGAGGAAGTCTGAGACTGGAGCGTCCCTCGCCCTGGCTCCCTCCTGTCTCACCGCTAATTGAAACAGAAAGAGGCGAAGGTTGATCGCTGCTGGCCCAACCGGTCCGTGGGTTGTGGAAATGCACTTAGCCGGGGAGACCCACAGCACAGATTGATGCTGCTTCGCGAGGCAGGCTCCAGAGCCGCCATTCATTGTCCTCTTGGAAGGCCAGGCAGATGGTCAGTCGAAGCAGAGGGGGGAAAGACAAATTGAAAGGAGCTGTGAGCAGTTTCAATCTTAACGTGGAATCCCGAGTTCTGTTAAAACTCGGAAAGATGTAGGAGGGAGGGAAAGAGATTGGACAGGGGTACAGGGTACAGATGAAAAGGATCCGGAGGGCTTCTGATGTCCTCAGTAGGATAAGGATGGTTGACATCGATTAATTAACTTTCAAAACAACTAGTAAATAGGATTTTGAAAATTCCCAGCACATAGAAATGATGTGTGTCTGAAGTTAGATAGGCCAGTTACCTTGATCTGTTGCTACACGCTGTATGCATGAATTGAAATGACACACTGTGCCCTATAAACACAGTTACTATGTGTCCACTAAAAGTAAAGATATTTTAAATTGGAAACGCGAGTAATGAAATGCAGCTAAATTCTAAATATCATTGATTTGTGTGGCTTTTAATCTTTGAACATGACCAGTGAACCAAAGCAGAGCAGGGCATTTCTTTTAGTTAACAGTACCACTCACACCTGAAAATCCCCCACCCCTTGTATAAGTACTGCTTGCCCTCAAGGTGCTGTGGGAAAAGTGACCCACCCAGGGATCGTGGTGAAGTGAAGGAGTCCTCCAGGGAGGTGTGATTCTGGGGCGTGGTCAGCCACCTTCTCCCCAGCAGACCCTATGTGTGTATGCAAACCAAGAAGAGCCCCCTTCACATTTCTGGGAACAACTCAAAGGATTCATTCAGTTCCACTTCTGAAGGGCATTCACAAGGTCATCACTGACCCTCCTGGGGAAAAACCGGGGCAGTTTTCAAGGGGAGTTTCCTAATGCCTTTTCTCTTGCTCACTCGCTGACTTCCCAATTAGAATGGGAGTTGGGGACAAGCCAAGACAGTTCTGTCCAACCCCAGGGCTGCAAAGGACCCAGGCAGAGTTTTCCAATCCCAAAGAAAGAACAAGGAGGACTCAATGGAGAGGTTTTGGACCTGTGATTACTCATATCCTCCTTGGCGGGGAGGGCTGGGATACCATGGAGGGCTGCCCCACTCCTGCAAGCAGGGGCACTGTATAGGATGGGGGGCACCTCGGTCCCCTGCACAGGTGCAGTTCTTCAGCTGTTCTGTGTGCATCCTTTTACTTTACAACCAAGATCACTCTGCTTTGATTCTCACCTAAAGGTTGGAGACAGGAAGTGGCCAGCTCATTCTTTAGAGTCACATTCTTTGGAGTTCTTATCTCATGGCAAGTTTTCCTAGGCACTTACTAGTGTTTACTCCAAGTTCATACCAAACTTCCTTCCAGGACAGATAAAGGTGGCCAAGAGTGGCCATCCAGGACCAGCTTCACATGCCCTGGGCAATCCCAGGAACAGCAGCAAGTCCTGCTCAGATGCTGGCATGGTCACCCCCAGGGAGGGCCCTGCAGGCCTGCTCTCCCTGGGCCCCTCTCCCCTCATCCTTCCCATGACTTTAAAAATAGTTTGTGACTTATATTTTACTTTATCATACATTCACCACCACCTTACTCCATTTTCTGTTGTCAGAACACAATGCCACAGACTGGCTACGATATAGAGAAAAGATGTTTATTTGGGCTCACACTTCTTAAGTTGCAATGAGGAAGCTGGCATCCGGTGATGGCCTTCTTGCTGGCAGAGTCCCAAGGTGATGCAAGGGGTCCACAAAGCAGGAGACAGGGAGGGTGCACGTGTATCCTCTGGCCACTGTCCTTCTTCTTACAAAGCCACCGGGATTCAATCAGGGGCCCCCACCTTGATGACCTTATGGTTAGATTAAGTCTCCACCCTCTTAATACCTCACCTTGGGGATTCAATTTCAGTACATGAAACCCGGGGGGACACACCCCCGCCATATCCAAACCATGGTGCCCACTTTAACTGAAGGACAATCTTAAATTTTCTCCCGTCTGACCTTGACCAAACTTTAGGCAGGATCTTTCAGCTAGGCCACTGCAGTCCCCGCCCTGAGCCAGCCTAAACCAAGAGTCCTGCTTAGTCCACCCCTCCCACCCTGCTGTCTGACTGCCCTGGCCTGCCATTAGCAAGAATCCCCTTATCCTGATATTTCCTCTGAGTTATTTTCCATCTTCTGCCAGCCTCGCCCCAACCTTGCTCTTTGGCTGTAAGTCCCACTTGTCTTTGTATTTGGAATTGAGCTCAGCTCATTGCAACAGTACTAAATAAAATCTGTCTTATTGCCTTGACTAGGTTCTAGCTCTCATTTTGGGCCATTATCAAAGGCTGTGAAGCCAGGCACGATAGCACATGCCTGTAATCCCAGCAGTTTGAGAGGCTGAGGCAGGAGGATCGGGATTCAAAGCCAGCCTCAGCAACTTAGTGCAACTCAGTGAAACTTGTTTCTAAAGAAAATACAATAAAAGGGATGGGATGTGGCTCAGTGGTTAAGCACCACTGGGTTCAATCCCCAGTACAAAAAAAAAAAAGCTGTGACACTTAAGTCTGCAGCAGTGACAAAGACCTAAGGGCCGAATACTTCCAGAGCTGACAATATTGACTGGTGGGCAGGTCTTCCAAGACCCTTGGGGAGAAAGACCATCAGGGGATCCTGACTCTGCCTTTCCCTACTCTGCATTCCAGCTCCACCTGCTTCTAAAGCAGGGGGCGCTCCTTACTGGAGAAAGTCCCCTGAGTGTGGGTGTTTGATAGGCTCTTGGACCAGTTCCCCCTTCTCAGTCCTCTTTGTTGACACACAGCAAAGTGCTTTTCCATCCCACAGGAGGATCCTGTGAAGAAAATGTAACCCTTGGCTTCTTGACGTGAAATTGACTTTCTTCGCCACTAAGATGTACATATGATGATTATGATGAACCACTTATTTCTAGCACCACTTATGAATATACAAATATCATTATGGAAATTTTTTTTGCTCTTATCAGCATAGCAAACAAATTAGACATCCCAGAGTGCAAATATAACATTCTGGATTTGCCGGTTGTAAATATTCATGCTTGAATTATTTATTCTCCTGTATTGATACAGTATTTGTACTTAGAGATTGACATAGTAAGGTCTTCATGAATTATTTTCAGAATATTAGTCAGTCACTACAGAAAAGCACATAGAAGAGAGAATCAGAAGCCGGGGCTTGCCAGTAGGGTCCTCAGGCAAGTCCCCCCAATCTGCCTCTTCTAAGGATGCTTTATGATGATTCTAGAAGCAGCTGGTTTGCTTCCACTAGATGGATTTGAACAGAAAGTACAGGCATGGAGA